GACAATTGTTCAGATTTTTCTAACAAGTGCAACAAGTCTACTATAATATAAATGAAGTATAAATCGTTGATTCACAAGGATTTAGAACATATTTTGTAATTTTTAATATTTTAATTAAAAATTGAAATAAAAAGATTTACAATTGAATATAAACATATTATTTTGCATTTCAAAATTAAAATAGTAAAGAAAATAACAATGGTGAGCAAATGTAAAGTTCAAAGATAATAGTGAGAGAAGTTATTGAGATTGAATTTCACCTATCTTATTTATATGTTCTCCTAAGATTATTTATATATGAATTCTACGACTTAATGTTATTGAATTTTCTAAGGTCATTCTAAATCAATTCCTTATTTTTAGAAGTTTTAGGGTTCTAATTTAATAAATGATTCCTCAGTTTATCAAATTAAAATCCTTGCATAAGTTTGAGAATCTATTTAACTAACAATTCTAAATCTATTCCTAACATTTAAAATCATTTGTTGATTTGATTCAAAAGAAGAAGAAATCCTTGTACCCAAATGACTCTTGGAGTTTCTTCCTTTAGCTATGTTCTTGTTCACTCTGTGTTTTGAATAATCTATTTTTCTCTCTTTTCTTCCCTTAAATATGTCCAACAATTAAAGAAAAGTAGGTAGGAAAGAACAAATCCACTTGGCCTTTTTCCAAACGCTAAACAAATTGGTGAATTCTTCAAGGTGAAGGAATCTCCATCAGTTGAGCCCTTACAAATCTGTTGAACCCCTGAGAATCAAAATTTCTCACCCCTTCTAAACCAAATTTGCTTAGCCAATTTCAAATGGTTGGGTAGATTTGGCTTTGTTGCCAATGTTGCTTTCTATCCCTAATTTTCTTAGCCCTTGTAAATCGACTAAGTTGATTTAAGAGATTTTTGAAATCTTGGGACTTCATTCAGTTTGCAAGCAAAAACAAAGGTTCATGAGTAAAAAATTCATCAACTCTTAAGAATGTAACTAATTTATACACCTTTTTGATTCTTCTAATATTTTAGGGATTAAAAATAAATTTCCCCTTAAAACTAGTTAAATAAGTGTCAAAAGAGTCAAGTCATTTAAATAAAATCGACACTTATCAACATTGAATTCTTTTGTACAAGACATAGCTCCATGTCCAAAGCTTTTTTAGTAGGAACTTCCATTGGGCTTGACAATATAAGACTATCCAACTATAATTTTGGTGAAATAACCTCTATATACTTAGTGGTTTCCTCACTCAACATTGTCAGATTACTTAGATCTTTTTAGTTAGAAGGTTATAGTTTGTCATCAATAGTAGAACCCCTTTGCTTGAGGGAGGTAAATATCTCATCCATATTAAGGAACACAATATGACTAGAGATTTGCAAATTCATTATGTTCGAAGAAAGGGTGACGACATCTTTTTGATAAAAAGCTTTGGATGAAAAGAAAATAATTGTTGTTACTTTACCTTTGTCAAATTTTGTCACATGCATGCAGTCTAATTTTTTCTTAAAAGTTGTGGATTCGGCCCCTCAGAGGAGTGATGGTTGGCTTCTTTGATGTTTGGGGATTCTTCTCACCTTGTTGGTTACACACCTTATCTTTGCTTGGTCCATGCCTACTACCAGCACTATCAACATGGTGGGTGGCAAAAATGATACTAGGCTTTTTTTTCTTACTTGAGACAACTTTGGTTTGAAGATTCAAGAAAATTTTTGGAGAATTGCTATAGGTTGGTTGCTTATTTTTAGTGTGTTTATTATGCTTCCTTTCCGCTAGCATCCATGGGCCATATGAGGCACCATCCTGGCTATTAGATACAACCTTTATTACAATCATCTATAAGATCAAGTTTTATACTAACCATGTCAACCTTGGTGATTGTTTCAAATTCCTTTGTGGTCATGGACATGTTTTCTCATTGTCATTGTGCTTACATTAGGAATTGTCTTCCTATCTGTTTGAACTTCCACTCCTTCCAAGGTGACATTAAGGGTGATAATAATGTGGGGGACAAACATCTTGCTTGTGGTCATATTTACCACAAGAAAAGCAAACAAGGTGCAAGCCTTCGTATTCCAAGTTAAGGGGTTGTCCTCTAACATATACTTTGGGTATGAAAGGCTTCTCTAGATCTATTTCCACATAAAATCAAGTAAATTACCTTCTAGAGTGTGTAGATGTAACATTATCAACCTTTAGCATGATCCCCAATGCATTACCCAGACGGGAGAGGAAGACTTCGCTAGAAAGTTCCATGGGCAAGTTCGGAATCTGCACCTAGATGACCATCTTCTTCTCCATATCAGTAGATATTGAGAAGTCCAGTCTCCATCTTTACACCAACAAGTAGTGGTCAACAATTTTTCAAGGGCCTTTGATTTTTTCCTCGAACTAAACCAAGTAGAAACCATCAAGGAGGTCAATAATGTTGATTTTTTTCCTTTAAGGCCTATTCTTTCTTAAGTTTATTTTTAATGATTCGAAAGTGGACTCTCTTCCCCAAATTTTAATGACTAGGGCCCCATTCCATATTGGCACTAGCCAAGAAATTCCTCATCAAAACTTGGATTTCAAAAAACTTGCCTTTATCCTTATCAAAACTTTATTAGGCTTGTCTAAAAAATATTATATTCATAGATCATTGTTCTCAATACCACCACAATTGATAAAGTATCTATTGGGTGTAACCAAATTCTCCAAATAAGAATTATTTATTCTAGCAAAAGAAACACCATTGAATAAAGAATTTCCAAAACTAGACCCATCAACATCATCTCCATCAACACCATTGGTCCATGCCTACTACTAGCACTATCAACATGGTGGGCAGCAAAAGTGATAGTAGGCTTTTTTTTTTCTTAATTGAGACAACCTTGGTTTGAAGATTCGAGAAAACTTTTAGAGAATTGCTATAGGTTGGTTGCTTATTTTTAGTGTGTTTATTGTGCTTCCTTTCCACTAGCATCCATGGGCCAAATGAGACACCATCCTGGTTGTTAGATATATACAACCTTTTTTACAATCATCTATAGGATCATGTTTTATACTAACCATGTCAAGCTTGGTGATTGTTTCAGATTCCTTTGTGGTCATGGACATGTCTTTCATTGTCATTATGCTTACATTAGGAATTATCTTCCTATTTGTTTGAACTTCCACTCCTTCCAAGGTGACATTAAGGGTGATAATAATGTGGGGACAAACATCTTGCTTGTGGCCATATTTACCACAAGAAAAGCAAACAAGGTGCAAGCCTTCGTGTTCCAAGTTAAGGGATTGTCCTCTAACACATACTTTGGGTACGAGAGGCTTCTCTAAATCTATTTCCACACAAAATCAAGTGAATTACCCTATAGAGTGTGTAGATGTAACATTATCAACCTTTAGCATGATCCCCAATGCATTACCCAGACGAGAGAGGAAGACTTCACTAGAAAGTTCCATGGGCAAGTTCAGAATATGAACCTAGTTGACCTTCTTCTTCTCTATATCAGTAGATATTGAGAAGTCCAGTCTCTATCTTTACACCAACAAGTAGTGGTCAACAATTTTTCAAGGGCTTTTGATTTTTTCCTCGAACTAAACCAAGTAGAAACCATCAAGGAGGTCAATAATGTTGATTTTTTTCCTTTAAGGTCTATTCTTTCTTAAGTTTATTTTCAATGATTCGAAAAGTGGACTCTCTTCCCCAAAGTTTAATAACGAGGGCCCCATTCCATATTAGCACTAGCTAAGAAATTCCTCATCAAAAACTTGGATTTTAAAAAAACTTGCCTTTATCCTTATCAAAAACTTTATTAGGCTTGTTCTCAATACCACCACAATTGATAAAGTATCTATTGGGTGTAACCAATTTCTCCAAATGAGAATTATTTATTCTAGCAAAAGAAATACCAGTGAATAAAGTATTTACAAAACTAGATCCATCAACATCATCTTCATCATCTTTTCTTTTGCTTTTTATTTCGTACTCTTATTGAGATTGTCAATTTCTTGTATGGTGGCTCTCTCTAGGCCTCCCTCTATTACTTGCTCATTCATGGTATTGATTAAGTTTTATTGTCTAGTAATAACAATAACAACTTTAAAGGTTACAATAACAATTAAAATAATTGTTTATTATATGTTGTACAATTTTATAAAGTTTTGTTTTGATCCTAGCTAACTTAAGGGTTAAGGATCATAGATTATAGCCTAGGGAAAAAAATGTTATAGTCTATGATCCTTAACCCTTAAGTTAGCTAGGATCAAAACAAAACTTTATAAAATTGTACAACATATAATAAACAATTATTTTAATTGCTTTTGTAACCTTTCAGTTAAGAGAGTCTCACAGATCTTTGGTCATTCTTTACAATAATGATGATGATAATTATAATAATAAAGATAATAATGATAGATTAAATATGTTGAAATTGATAATAATTTTCATATTAGATAAAAATAAATAAATAAGATTAGATGTCAAAATTTGTCTCTAGTTGCATGAAAGTGTTACATTTAACCCCTTTCTTATGTATATATATTATAGTTACTAGTAATATTTCTATTAAAAAATATAAATAAATAAGTGATTACAATTTTTTATGTGATTACATATTATTCTTTATAGTTGTTTGAAAATATAACTGTCTCCAAGACTCCAAGAAAAGTAGAAACTAAATAGATAGTTCCAAGAATATATTCTTTTATAATAGTTAAAGATAGATAAATATAAATTATAGATAGTTAAAAAAAATGTCTTTCTTTCTCTTTTCCTCCAAAATCTCATTGTCGATCACACCCTTGTGGTAAAATTGCAAACAATGTCACAAATACATCCCTTAGAGATGTTTGGCTATAGTCTCCGCATCTCATAATAATTGGTTTTCTCTTCTATATTTCCCATGAAGTAAATAGTTTTAAGATTGAACTAGTACCGTATCTGTTAATTGTTCTAACTATCTACTATTGCAGTTCTTTATATGCGTATACAATGAACATACACAGACGTATACATACGAATGATGAAATCTAGTCATCAACTTTCGGGCAAAATAAATAATTTAAATATCAGAGTGCAACCGTACAAAACGTAAGGAATCAAATGGAGTGCTTAAACGCCACTCTCTTTGTTTTTTATTCAGTGGTCTTCCTTTCCCTGCTTTCTGTCTGTTGACTTTCACATCTGCTAAACCCCAGCTGCAATATTTCGTTTCCATGTCAAAAGATTCAAGCCTGAAGACACCATCACTTTCTGCAGCTGGATTATTTGAATCATCATTAATGACATATTTCACATACATAGGTCGGTCCTTGAATCGATCTAGGTCATCTGGAATCCGAACTATTCTTTCAACACCAGGAGATGACACCTGAATGAACACATTAGATAAACGCTAATAGAGCCAATAATATGAAACATAGATGATCAAAATTTCAATCCTTTGCATTCATCATCTTTCAAAATCTAGAGGGAAAAACATAACTTTGGTCCCATAAGAACACACAATTCATTGTTCCAAAATATAAAAAACATTATTCATAGCTGGTTGTGGATTTTGTAACAGCCCAATTTTCACTGGGCCTTGGGCCCAATTCGTTGCCTGGAACGGGCCATTTCAAAAGTGAAACGGGCCGTTCCGGTTGGAGAACGGCCCGTTCTGGTTTGGAGAATGGGCCG